TCAGGTCAATCAGTCCCTATCTGCACGATAACACGAATTCTTCCTTTGGTTGTTTGTTACACTGAGCTTTTTTGTGCTAGTTAAAATAATATCTAGTCATAATCTGGCCGATATAACGTAAATGCATCGAATGGGAGAGGATTACACTCAGACCGCTTAAGACAACCACCACATTTCCCAGCCAACCACAATAACAATTGGATAAACAATAAACAAAACCTTTGGCGAATCACAGGGGTTTCCATAACATCTATGCTAGTAAATAATGTTGAATTTTTTGCAACAGCTATCTATTTTTAAGGCGAGACTAACCCTATGTATCTTATAGATGAAGGCCATTTGCCACAACAACCACAAAAAATGAATAAAAAAAGTATAGCAAAGAGTACTGGCAACAGGATATGAAGGATATATTGAGCATGAGGTACTATCAGATTCATTAATGATCTACTGCTATCCTGCTATTCATGATGAGTAGCCACAAATCTATGCACTTTTGGGCAAACATCTGTCCATTGGGTAATGCTGTTTATATTCATTCATGAACGCGTCGAACTCATCCCTTTGGCGCTTGACGTGCTTCGGCATTTCACTAAATCATAAAGAAATTAACAATATTTGTCTGTACATAACAAAGATAGACAGAACAGGGCGTTAAAGCAGTTGGGAGGGGCGCGGCGAGATTGACAATAAGCTTAGGCCTTTATTAGGAGAAAGGGAGGCAAATGTTACCTCCGTTACCCCCCCCCTCCTTGAACGCACTGGCGCCAAGTCCAACTATACATTCCTGGCAATGATTTTGAAACCACAAACATTGACTTTTACCCAAGACCGCCCATGAAATTTTACCCTTCATTCAAAAGGGGCAATGACCGGACTCTTCGCCTCCGGTCCTCAGTCACCTTCAGGGTAGAGCATCGTTGTGTGATACACATCGGGGAGGGGAGAGGGGGGTCGTTCTTTTCCGCGGAGGAGGGGAGGGTTGTATGTGGTCGTTGGGAATGGGGGGGGGGGTTGTCGTATGTGCCTTCAAAGGCAATTTGCTGCGGAACAATTTTTCCTGGTTGTTGAGTTTTCGCGCGATTTTCCGTGTTTTATGTGTACTATATGCCCCTCTCACCCGCTCGACGGAAAATCTTGGGGTGAAAAACTGGTGTGCGTAATTGGTAGGTCCATGTAGTGGAAGGGGGGGGGGGTCGCTCCGAGCCCCCATTTCACACATCACGTCATACTGCTGTACCCTGGTGATCTTTCAGAAACTCCGCACCTTCCACTTAACTGTTGCGTATGGGCCGTTAGTTCCACGTCGCGGAGACGCGCACAAGCAAGCAAAGCATTTTCTAGTTGTCTCAAAGAATGGAGCAATGCAGCCTCAAAACTGTGAGAAGCCGGTGCGACACGTCACCCCGCTTGCGAGGTCTTCTGTGCCGCAACGTGGATCGAAGATAGCCGGGCACATTCCACTACATGCCAACCTTGAATTGACTCTAACCACCGAAATCAAACCTCAAATATAGGCATAGCTATTGTGCGGGGCATTTTACTGGTTTCCATCGATCACTGCCAATGCTTTCCGTATGGAACTGTAAATTCCTGTAAAAAGATTCAGTAGCATAAGCATCGCGAACACTTGACAAGGGCTTACAGGTCTTAGGCAGCGTTCAGACTTCGCGAAAGCAGCGCTTCGGTCGCGGCGCACACGCAGTGGAAGGCATGGTCTCGAGTTCGATGCAGCGCGATTTGGAGCGCTGCCGTCGCGGAAGTGCTTGAACGCCGCCTTAGTACGTGAGCCTGGTAATTAAAATCACTAGCTAGCAAAAAGCAAACAAGCGTGAAAGCCTCAAAGTGTTGATTCTCCCCAAGCCCAACAGCGCCGCGAACCACAAAACATAGCCTTATCCGCCAAAACACTCAGGTAGGAACCTCACGAACTCCCAAAAATCATGGCAAAAAGAAGACGAACCTATACACATCCTCGAACATATCATGATAATGAGACCATTTCTCTTTTTCAGCTTCACCGAACGCCTTCAAAATCCGCTTGCGGCACTAAAAAGGGCAATAACACGAAGATTTGGAGACCAGGAAAGCTACCTCAAGCCAAAACAAACATCTGTCTGCCACTTCTTCTCTTCTTCGTCGTTCCACCAGCCTTTTCTGTGATATAGTGTTTGAACCGCTTGATTGGGTGATCTTTATCGGTCCAACTCCTGCACCTCTTCGTGAGATCTGTAGCATATCAAAATGGCTGACAAGTAAAAGCCCCTTGGAGAACGGGAACAGGTAGTCGAGAGAAGCCAGGGCCTTTCTTCTGCTCGCCCGTGCCCTACAGCGCGTCATTCAAACTCACCGAAAACTATCTCGTTGAAAGGCTCAAGCGAGCAGAAGTAGGGACCGAGTAGCCTATCAGAAAGGCCGATTGCCCCTCCTACAACAACTTTTGTCCCTCTCTCTCTCCTTAGAAAAACGTCCCGAGATAAAAGACAAAACAGAGTTGGAAAAGGCAAAATGCATAAAAATCGTAGCCTGAAAACAAAATTACAAAAATTGTTAAATGTACCAACCTGTAGACAGTCGAATCATCACTGGTAGAATGATGACCCAATCTATAGGTCATCGATTCTATGAGGACGGGTTTATTTTTGAGTGCAAGCTCACGTGCCGCTTTCGTTGCGTTATAAACCGCGAACACGTCGTTTCCGTCGACACTTCAATGGTTTACAAATATTGACTGACCACCTAATCATCACTACAACCAGTAAAAACATACCGAATAGTGTGCAATCCGTACCCCGCTCCTTTGCCGGCGATACCGTCTCCTCCGTACTGTTCTGACGTGGGCGTACTGATGGCGTATCCATTGTTACGACAGAAGAATATAATAGGGCAATCCTGAAATCGGATGACATAATATTAGGTTGTCCGGAAAGTTCTCAGCGTTTTGGGTGTTTCACTTTAAACGATCGTAACTTTTTTAATACTCATCGGATTTAATCGAAATAGGCACCATTCGAATCAGCACACTTTTGCCAATGTGACAGCAGTCGAAATCCCATCAAAATAAAAAACTGGGTGGTCGAAAATTCACGAAATCCACGAAGGCTTTTTTGCCTGGTCCTGATTGATGAAGTATTT